ATATATATATATATATATATATATATATATATATATATTACACACACACACACTTACTTGAAGATTATTTTTCTAATGTTTTGATGAAATAATTAATAACTCTTATAATTGGTTTCTCCTAATAATCCTTTTGGTGACTGTATTATAGTTTTAGTTTTTTTATTCTTTTTTGAGTTTTCGAATTACCATATTCATATTTTCTAATTGACATATTAAAATTCTAATAAAGAATTAAAAAAACAATATATAACTGTAAAGTAAATTTAACATAAACAAAAAATACGCTTGAAAGTTAGATAATGGAATCTCACTCAAAGAAAATTGATGACTTGATTTCAGAATATATTCTACCTGCTTCAGTAATTCAATAATATCAAAAGTGCACAATATATTCTATTAATAGTGCTCTTAAGCTATGATTTTCAGAGAATAATACTAAGTTACTAACTTATCAGACTTGAACTCGAAAAAAATAAACGGGAATATAGAAGTATATAAATGTTGTGTAAGAGATTGACTCTTCAACAAACCAAAAAAGAGTTAATAGTGTAAAATATACTACTTTACATGTTTTCTGATTGAAAAAAAGAAAAAGTGGAATATAATTATTTCACTTGATAGATCTTTTCACACATAAACGGCTTGGAAGAGTTTACTTAAAAGTATTGTAATTGTTTTTCCAAAAAAAAAAAAAAGAAGAACAAATTAACCTATTAACGTATTATTGATTAAAAAAATAGGGCCTCCCAAATTTAGGGGCCTAAAGCACGTGCTTTAGGTGCTTCACTCTAAAGCCGGCAGTGCCTTATATTTTTGGAAAATATCTGCAAAGGGATAATTATTTTCAAGAAATACCACATCTCGGGAAAAATATATTTTAGAGGTGACGTGATCAAAACATTGACGAGAATATTTATTTGAAAAAACCTAAATAATAAAGGTTGTTGATTTTGGTAAATGGAACCACTGAACTATGTCTGATCAAACATATGTAAGTTTAAACTATCTATTCATTGAAAAAGAAGCACTTTAGAACAGTGATAGTCATTGCTGCTGGATGGAATAGGCAACTACATATTGTTCTTAAACGATCTTCTAGGAGAAATGTTGATGAAGATCTCATGTCAGATAACTGCAAACATTTGTTAGAAGAAAAATAGGAATTTTGCATTCATAATGTTGGCTGGGTTGAAGAATGAAGCAATCTAGAACTTGGCCAGTCACTATAAGAAACTACATACTATGTTTGAAGAATTCTTCAAAGAGAACTGTTGGCCACTTAGTCTAGAACTTGGCTAAAGAAGTAAGAAATGCTGATCTACATTGCTCTAAGAGTTGTCTGTTGTTATGTGTTCCTTCTTTTTTTTGGGTTTGTGTGTTGGTATACTACTTAATAGAACAAATATGCCTTTCTTTATTAAGACTTATGTCACCTAGGCAGGACTAAAAGGAGACTTTTCACAATATAAATTATCCCTTCTTGATATCTGCTTTGAAGTTTTGGTTTGTTTGCAGAAACATGCTCTCTGTGAGTTAATATGGGCTCTCCAAATCTGGAACTTATGCACATTAGTTGTCTCTGTGTGTGTGTTTGAATTGTGTGTATTTGGAATTTTGTGTGCTCCTATTCTTACTCGGACTTCATATATGTAACGTGTTTTGGTTCATTTCTCTTTTCTTGCAGCTCAAGCGTGGGAACGGTTATACTAATATTTCTGACTCTAAGAGTTAGAATGAATGTGAATGGCTCTGGTGTTTGATGGCGGCTTTTATCATCTTCCAGCCACCGTATTTGTAAAATAAATCTTTCCCGGAATTTTTGCTTTCTTTCTAAAGAATAAGATCGACGACGCCGAAATTTGGTCGATGACATGTCCAGTGTTGATAAATTAAAAGGAGATGCCAGGGACTTCCTTAATGCCAAAAGATCTGGCCAGTCGGTGGACGATGTTGCAAAAGAAGTTGGCAACTGTAATGTGACTGAAACAGCTAATGGAGAATTAAATAAGGCTAATGCTGGCCAACAGAAATCTGCTGAAGGAATTTCTGATGATAATCGAACAGGATCAAAGGTTGTTAATGGTCAAGCTAACGTAATGGAAACTGTGACAGGGGCATTGCAAGATGCTACTGATCATGAAAAGCAGACTGTCAATGTAGAGGCTAAATTTCCAAATGCTCAAGCTGAAAGGGAGTAGGGATTTGAGCAGGGGACTCTGGCTCAGGGAACTGCTGTTGCACCTGTTAAACCAGTGGACAAAGCAGCAGTAGAATGTGCTGAAGGTGTTGGTCAATTCAGGACTGCTTCTAAGTCCCCTTCAGTTACTGGACAGGTTAATACACAGCAGAAACAGTCTAATGTTCTGCAAGTATCAGGCCCAAAGGATGTTGTTGATCGAGGTGAGGTATCTGCACAATTTGGCAAGGACAAGGTTGGTACTGGTGCTTTGCAAGCTGCAGCTAATGCTAAATGTCCTGATGCTCGAGCAACCAATGCCAAGAACCATGCAACTAATGGTGCTTTGGTCACATTAAATACCTCTGTTTTTGATGTTCCATCACAATCAGTTGAAACCTACAGCGACTTTGAAGGTGAAGCTGGGTAGATTTTTCTGTCAACTGGAAACAATGATGAATTTATCCAAGCAAAAGTGATCAAATCTAAATTTTGGTTACAACAACGTGAAGAGGATGACGAATACGAGGATTGGGGTGATGGTCAGGGTTTTCATCTGAAGAAGCTGATCAGGAGGTCGATCAAGAGAGTGCAGGTGAAGATCTTGACTGTCTAGCAATGGCAAAATATGATGAGGGACCAGTAGCAAGTCATAAGAGCAAATTGAATATCAACGCTCCAATATTTTTGCCCAGAAATTCTCCAAATGGAAGCTTGAAGCGAACTGCAACAACACATACAAAGCAGTTAGTCCTAGCTGAAACTGATCAAACAGCTGCTACAATAAAATCTGGGCAGCAACATATTGTAACAGATAATCCAATCTTCGATGCAATGGA